AGACCAGACGAAATCCAGGTCTCCCACTCCTCCGCCATCTTGCGCCGCCTCCCTGAGTAACTGTTTTTAATTCTGTTTGGTATGTACTTTAGAGTAGAATTGCTGGGTCTTATGGTAATTCTATGTTTAACTTTTTGAAGAATCTCCAAACTACTTTCCACAATGGTTGCGTCATTTTGCATTCTTACCAGCAGTGTATGCTGATCCCAATTTCTCTAAATCCTCACTGACTCTTATTTTCATTTTCTCACCACCACCATCATCATCATCACCATCACCATTCTAATAGGTGTGAGGTGGTATCTCATTGTGGTTGTGGTTTGCATTTCCCTAATGACTAATAATATTGAGCACCTTTTCACATGCTTAATGGTCTTTGTTCCTCTTCTTTGGAAAAACATCTGTTCAAGTCCTTTGTCCATTTAAAAAATTGATGGTCTTCTTGTTATTAACTGAATTTTTGAAAGGTATTCTCCCTGGGTATAGAACTCTAGGTTCATAATTCTCTTTTTTTTCTTTCATTGGTTTAAAGATGTTGATCCATTATCTTTTTGCTTTGTTTCTGACAAAAAATTCTAACGTCATTCTCTGTTCTTTGTGTAATGTATCTTTTTCCTCTGGTTGCTTTGCAGATTTTCTCTTTATCTTTGGCTTTAATCAACTAAATTTTGATGCACTTTGGTGTAGTTTTCGTGTTTCTAGTACTTGGATCTTGTTGAATATCTTGGATCTTGATCTTAATTTTTTACACGTTACATCAAATTTGGAAATTTTCCAGCCGTTATTTGTTTAAAAATATTTTTGTTGTTTCAGACAGGAAAGTAATCTGGTCCCTGGTGTTCTGTCCTGTCTGGGGGTGGAAGTCTCTTATATTTAGTTTTGAAAGTGAAAGTTTCATAAGACAAAGTGAGAAAATCAGTGGCCCTTTACTCTGCCTCCTTCTTCTGCTCTCTAGGCAACCTCTTGCCTCTTTGGCTTTTTCTTTCAAGCGATTTTAAGTATATTTCTAAACAACATGCTCATGCTCACACATCTCCCCTGCCCCCTTTTAGATACTGTCTTTTTCCAGAGCTGATCTCGCTCCCTCCCACTTCACTACCCTTTCACACTTCACTACCCTTTCTCTCCCCACATCCTGCCAGTATGATGATATCATTTCTGATCAGAACAATATTCAGAGTTGATAACATTATGACTGTCATTTTGTTCACAGCTATGCCATATCATGGCTTATGGCTATGTTTTCTCCTTTATACTATTTTTCATTTTAAACTTAGAGTTATTGTCTTATCTTTGTGTTTACATATTTTCCTAAGTCCCTATTACTCATCCACCCCCAAACTCTCTACCTCTTCAGCTGACTAACTCATTAAGCAGTCCATCAGCTGTATAGTCTCACGTGCCACCCACTGAAGTCTGCTGCCATCTTGCTCCCATTCTGGCTGGTGATCTTCTAGGCCTGCCCCACAGCTGTCGTTCTGGGGTCTCCCTTCACACTTGTCCAGGGGATTGTGTTTGCTTCTCTCTTGGGTTGGATCTTTTGTTCCCTGCATCGAGCTTCTGAGGAAGGAAGTTGGGGGGAGTGTCAGATAGCATGACAGCTTCGTTCACAGCAAAGTACCCTTGATGGAGGACTGTGTAATGATGTGTGAGTTGGTCTAGTTGCTCCTTCTCTTTCCTCATTTGCCACAGATGAATCAAATATTGGCAGCTGTGGGGATGTGCATCACTCATACTTGCTCTTCTGTCCTGAGGTGTGGTTGCAAAGATGGTGTGTCTGCACACTGTCACTCAGTTTAGGAAATGTCAAAAGCCCACCTTTACCCGCCAGCTTGGTTGATCCAAACAGTCAATAATTTGTCTGTTAGTTTCAAACAAATTATATATATACTTATATTTAATTTACATATATTTTTTCATGAGATGAGAACTGCTTGGACCAGGGAAACTTAAAGGGTCTGTTCCATAGCAACAATGACAAATTACCAACTCAATCAGATTTGCTCCTTCTTCAAATTGGGCTATAAAATAATCTAGGAATTGCCCAGGTCTCAATGGGAGGAGAAAGAACACCAAGAAAAGCAATAAACATCAGCACACCCCAGAGACACCTCTGACAGTGAAAGCCTTCCATTTGCATTCCAGCTTCAGTCCTCATGTATCTACAATTTCTTGTTTTCTGCAGGTGAACTGGGAGACACTGCCCTCAGAGATCTTGGTACAAACAGTTACTAAAATCATAGCATAAAAATAGCCTCTGGATCATTTCTCTGGTGGTAGTGGGCTTCCAGCAGACTTAGTTCCTCCACCTGTCCTCCACACTTATTTCATGCATGAGCCTGGCTTCAAACTCTGTGGGCAGAAAGGAAGTGACCAACTTCAGAAAAGTGGCCTCAAACTGTCGGGTTTCTCACTTTCCCTATTCTTGTCCGATTCTAATGGTTCTATCTTCCTGTTTTTTTAGGAGAACCTTTCAGGGTAGGAACAGGACAAGTGCTGAGAAGATGAGTGTCAAGGTGGATTCGGAAACAAACTTTGCCGAATGCGTCTTAAATGTAGGAAAAGTCATCCTTGGGAATAAACAAAGGAACGAAATGAAGCCTCAACTGCAGAAGAAACAGAATAAAATCATCATGAATGCAATATGTGCTCTGCTGAATTCTGGTGGCGGAGTGGTCAAGGCTGAGATTGAGAACAAAGACTACAATTACGAAATCCATGGAGTAGGACTGAAAATGCCTTCAATTTTTAAAGGCTATTTAGATGAGATGCAGCAGGGAGACCTCTTTTTTATTTTTGTGAAGTCGTGGAATGCTGAGGCCTCTGGTGTACGACTGGCAACCTTGTCCTCCAATTTGTACCACAGATACAGAGCATCGACTGATGTCATGAATTCTCAGGAAGCACTGGTGTTCCTCAAAGGGAGAACTCAGACTCTTGTGAATACTAATGATTCCAGTTCGCTAAGTCCCCAGAAAGTTCGGGTTGGTGTACAAGATGATGCTAACATAAGGGCCTCAGCTGCTGCTTTATTTGCTAGAACTCACCTTCAGTTCCTAGAAGAGCTCAACTTTACTACGTCCCTCCACGTTGAATTTAAAATGTTCTCAACAGAGGTGTCCCAGTGCTTTAATGAGAGTCTCCCCAGTTGTGTGTCTGCATTTGCAAACACCGAAGGAGGGTATATATTTTTCGGTGTGTGTGATGAGACCAAGCGAGTCATTGGATGTGAAAAGGAGAAAGTAGATCTTGTTGCCTTGCTTCATTCTATTGATTACTGTATTAGGAAACTACCTGTCCATCATTTCTGTACACAGAGGCGTGAGATAAAATATGATGTCAAATTCCTTGAAGTGCACGATAAAGGGGCCCTCCATGGATATGTCTGTGCAGTCAAGGTGGAACGATTTTGCTGTGCAGTGTTTGCCAAAGTGCCAAGTTCCTGGCAGGTGAAGGACAATCGTGTGAAACAGCTGCTCACAAAGGAATGGATAGCTTGGATGATGGAGGCTGATCCAGGTCAGGGAGAAGAATCCACAACGATTACAATGTTCGCTGGGGGCAAGGGGGAGAGGTGGGGAGGGAGGAAGGGGGATATTATTTTAGAATCTAGGGAAAGAGAGGTACTCTCTGAATTGCAGATGGTTGATTTATTCTTTCCAATTGCTACAGTTGGTAGGTCACTGCACTTCATTCCCTCTGCCCATTTTGAATACCCAGCATTCAACAAAAAGATGTTGCCTTGGGCTAGTAGACCTACTAGAGGTTGGTGCAGGGGGCTGTCTGACCTAGTAATTTTTATTTTCATACCCTTTCTTGTGTTCTTATTTAGGTCTCTTCTTTTCCTTTCTGAATATGAATTCATTTAATTATTTAGGAAATTCTTTTCCACATGTACATATGTGTCCTCTTTAACTTACTGCCACTTTCCCCTGCCTTTCCATTTTTGTTGCCTGAATTAAACATTCTCCCTTTCTCATTGCCCCACTTCCATTCTGAACTCAAATATGACCTATCCATGGCTGGCCCCCTCCTTTCTGACCTTTCCATTTCAGAGCCAACATGTGATGCTAACCGTGACTGATAAACCAGAGCAAGTGTTGGTGATGTGCATCCCCCTTGGAAAAGGAAAGCCCAACATGAAATTAGACAAAATAAATTAGTGGTAACTTCTTCAGAAGTCCAGAAAAACAAAGTCCATTTCAGAGTCTTCTCAGAAATCTGTATCTATTGACCTTTCTACCTTCTAATCCTACATTTAAAAACATGAACATTCTAAAAATATAAAGTTTGTTTCAATAGAATACAATTAAAATTAAAAATGAAAACTATTGCTCCATACTGGTACGTCCTCCCACTCCCCCAAGATATAAGTAGGCTTTCCTAAGCTGACTTAGGATGTAGACACAAGGATCTGTGGGCCAAAGCTCTGAGTTCCAAGATGAAGTGAAAGGCTTTGCAACACAGCTCAGCTATAAGTTGGCGTCTGCCTTTTTGCATATTGAACTCTTGTTTCTTGTTTCCTAAGATCTTTCCAGATTTTCTGAGATGGTCCTTGCACTGAGTTTGTCATCCAGCACAGCACGTAGCAGGACTGTGTGCACTCATAAGAATTTTGAATGTCTGAAAGAACAGCAAAAACGTTACTTTCCAGGTAATTAATCTCTGGTTGCTTTGGAATGTGTTGGTTGTTCATTCATATGCAAAAAAGAATAAAACTAGACTTCTATTTATATTATATATATATGCTATTTATATAAATCAATTCCAGAAGGTTTAAGGACTTAAATGTCAGGAACAAGCCTTTTGAACTTTTAGAAAGAGAGAAAGAGATATCCATGAATAATTTTGTGTCATTGAGATAGGAAAGGATTTCCTAAACTAGACGTAAAAGTATTGATCTTAAACGAAAAGATTGATAAGTTTCACTACATTAAAGTTAAGAACTTCTGTTCCTCAAAAGATATCTTAAAGAGAGTGAAAAGATTCAACTAGGAGAAGATTGCAAATCCACGTAGCTGACAAAAGATTGGTATCAAGAATATATAACGAACTTACACAATTTTGTAAGAGGACAAACCATCCAGTAGACAAATGAACAATAGTGATAAAGATATATTTCTCAGAAAAGGAAATGCATATGTCCAATGAACTTATGAAGAGATGTTCAAGCCATCAGCAATGAACGAAATGTACATCAAAACCACAAGTAGATACCATCTTACACCATTTAATTGAAATACCAGATGTTGGAGAGGTTGTGAGTATCAGAATCTGCTGTACATTGCTGCTATGAATTCAGTGGGCTTAATCCCTTTGGAAAACAAATTTGGCATTACCTTGTATAGTTGGTCATTTGCATACTCTACCAGGTAGTAATTCTTTCTAGTTTCTAGTGCAAAATGTGTACGTGTGCATCAGATGTATATAATTGGAGAGATCCCTGTGACTTCTCATAGATTACTATTTGTAATAGCCCCAAACAGGAAACAACCAAATTATCTATTGTCACAACAATGGATAAATATATTGTAGTATATTCACATAGTGGAATATTATTCAGTGGTGAAAATGAATGTACTACAAATATATGCAAGCACAAGGCTGAATCTGAGTGATATGTAAGTACCTTACTCATAGATTTACCCAATTCTTTTATTAATTGTATAGTGTTTCATAGTATTCCTAAACATGGATGTTATTAGTTTTAGCTACTTTTATTGTGAAATATATTATACATACAGAAAGTACATAGAACAAAGATATAACTTAATAAATAACTAGGCAGTGAGGAGCACCTGGTTGGCTCAGTTGGGGGAGCATGTGACTCTTGATCTCAGGGTTGTGAGTTTGGGCCTCACAGTGGATGTAGAGATTACTTAAATAAATAACACTTTTAAAAAACAGTTATTATGCAGTGAATCCTGTGTAACCACCACCTAGGTAAAAAAAAATATATAGAACTTTGCAAACACCCCTGCCACAACTTCTTTAACCAGTCCTTTCTTTTATAGAATTTTATATATCTAATTTTTTCTATTTTAAACAATGCTACAATATACATTTTTCTAAAAATGCCTTGAGGTATTCCTTAAAGATAAATTCCAAGTAGTAACAATCGCTTGTAAATTTAGGTGAGCATTGCCAAATTGTAATTCAAAACATATACAAGAATATGCTTTCCCCAAATGGTATTACCATGGCATTTCTCTTCTAGAAGCTTAGAATCATTTTGTTCCATCAAAAAGGGAAGGACAGGTTGAAATTATTTTGATGGTAACTACATGAAATTGATAAATGATTTGGGGGAAGAATTGTCATTTTACAACAGTGAATTTTCTTATAGTTGAACATGGGATGTTTGGCCGCTTATTAAAGTCTTCTTTTACTATATTTCATCAAACTTAAGAGAACAATATTGCACTATTATTTTATTTACCACTAAAAGAGAAAATATTACCAATTAAATTAGAAGATGTATCTTGATTTCAGAGATGTTAAAGTACATTTATAATCAGCAAAATATGATACATCTCTCAATTGTTTCAAAGTTTTATCTGTATTGTTACTATATATGTTAAATTTTATTCCTAGAATGATAAATCAGTCATAAAAAGACAAATACCTATGTCACTCCTATGTGGAACTTAAGAAACAAAACGAACAAAAAAAAAAAAGACAAACCAAAAAACAGACTCTTAACTATAGAGAACAAACTGATGGTTACCAGAGGGGAGGTGGGAGGGAAATGGTTGAAATAGGTGATGGGGATTAAGAGTACATTTATCATGGGGCACCTGGGTGGCTCAGTCTGTTGGGCGGCTGCCTTCGGCTCGGGTCTTGGTCCCAGGGTCCTGGGATTGAGCCCCGCATCGGGCTCCCTGTTCAGCGGGAAGCCTGCTTCTCCCTCTCCCATTCCCTCTGCTTGTGCTCCCTCTCTTGCTGTGTCTCTGTCTGTCAAATAAATAAATAAAATCTTTAAAAAAAAAAAAAGAGTACATTTATCATAATGAGCACCTAATAGAGAATTGTTGAATCACTATATTGTACACCTGAAACAAATATAACACTGTGTGTTAACTACACTAGAATTAATTTTTTAATTGATTACTAGACTGAGATCTTTGTATGATAATAATTTCTGATTGTGAATTGCTGGCATGTGAGAAAGCTCTTAGTTTAAAAATATACATTATACCATTTCCAGACATTTTACTTAATAATCTTGTTAATGCAAAAATAAAGATAATTTTGAAATAACTTTTCCTATATTTATACATGTTATTTCTTTACTTGGTTTAATTCACTGGCCAACAATTCCAAAATGATGTTAAATCAAAATAGTAAGATGAGAAGCCCTTAGTTTAGTTCACTTTTTTTTTAAGTAGGCTCCACACCCAGCATGGAGCCCAATGTGGGACTTGAACTCATGACCCTGAGGTCAAGACCTGAGCTGAGATCAAGAGTCAGATGCTTAACCAACTGAGCCACCCAGGCACTCCCAGTTTATTCCACTTTAATAAAAAATAACTTTAGTATTTGTCTGATCCCAGACAAACTGTACTGGTATGCCCAATTACTTGCTAAATACTCAATGTACCACAGGTATCCCAAACTGAGCATTTCCAAAATCAATCTTCCACTCTGACAATCTTCTATTTCTTCTGTATATTCTGCATATTATTCTGTATTAAGTATTCTTTTTCTGCCATTTCTTCCACATTATCTCTATGAATTGGAGAGTCCATCCTGCATCCAGCCAAGCACAGAAATCTGTGTTCATCCTTGTCTCTTCCCCCTACCCTGGATTCAAAACTCAAATTTTGTGTTTATTTGATTTTTTTTTCCTGGGGCAAAGGTTCATAGATCTGCTTAGATTCCAAATTTGGGATTGTGATGCCAAAAGGTTTAAGAAACTTTTTTCTACATATAAAAAAGCCAAAACTTTTTTTTAAAGAACACTTTTAAAAATTAATTTTAAAATTTACATGTATAAAAGGGACTTTTTTCTTATACAGTTCTAAGGGTCTTGAAATATATAGATTCATGTAACCACCACCAGAGTTAAGATACACAATAATTCCATCACCCAAAAAAGACCCCTTCACACTGCCCCTCTGTGGTCAAACTCTCCAATCCCTAGCCCTCAGCAGCCATTGATCTATTTTCCATCCTTATCCTTTTGCCTTTCACACAATGTGTAGGACACATCATATAGTTTATAACCTTTGCTAGGCTTTTTTCCCAGATTTATGGAGATATAATTGACATTTAACATCATGTATAAGGTGTACAGCATGATTTTTTATTTTTTTAAAAAGGTTTTATTTTTTTAAGTAATCTCTACAACCAGTGGGGGTTTCAAACTCATAACCACAAAATCAAGAGTTGCGTGCTCCACCAATTGAGCCAGCCAGGCACCCCCAGCATGATTTTTTTCATACATGTATATATTGCAAAATGACGACCACAATTAGGTTAATTAACATATTCATCACTTCACATAATTACCGAGTATGTGTGTGTGTGTGTGTGTGTGTGTGTGGTGAGAACATTTACGTTCTCTCTTAGCAACCTACAGATATATAACACAGTATTTTTTTATTATTTTTTTTTATTAACCTATAATGTATTATTTGTTTCAGGGTACAGGTCTGTGATTCATCAGTCTTACACAAATCACAGCGCTCACCATTGTACATACCCTCCCCAATGTCCATCACCCAGCCACCCCATCCCTCCCACCCCCACCACTCCAACAACCCTCAGTTTGTTTCCTGAGATTAAGAGTCTCTTATGGTTTGTGTCCCTCTCTGGTTTCATCTTGTTTCATTTTTTCCTCCCTTCCCCTATGGTCGGTCCTCTGTCTTGTTTCTCAAATTCCTCATATCATTGAGATCATATGATACTTGTGCTCTCTGATTGACTTATTTCGCTTAGCATAATACCCTCTAGTTCCATCCACATCGTTGCAAATGGCTTATTTTTTTGATGGCTGCATAATATTCCATTATATATATACCACATCTTCTTTATCCATTCATCTGTCGATGGACATCTTGGCTCTTTCCATAGTTTGGCTATTGTGGACATTGCTGCTATAAACATCGGGGTGCACGTACCCCTTCAGATCACTACATTTGTAACTTTGTGGTAAATACCCAGTAGTGTAATTGCTGGGTCATAGGGTAGTTCTATTTTCAACTCTTTGAGGAACCTCCATACTGTTTTCCAGAGTGGTTGCACCAGCTTGCATTCCCACCAAAAGTGTAGGAGGGTTCCTCTTTCTCCGCATCCCCGCCAACATCTGTCGTTTCCTGACTTGTTAATTTTAGCCATTCTGACTGGTGTGAAGTGGTATCTCATTGAGGTTTTGATTTGGATTTCCCTGATGCTGAGTGATGTGGAACATTTTTTCAGGTGTCTTTTGGCCATTTGGATGTCTTCTTTGCAGATATGTCTGTTCGTGTCTTCTGCCTATTTCCTGATTGGATTATTTGCTCTTTGGGTGTTGAGTTTGATAAGTTCTTTATAGATTTTGGATACTAGCCCTTTATCTGATACGTCATTTGCAAATATCTTCTCCCATTTTGTCAGTTGTCTTTTGGTTTTGTTGACTGTTCCTTTGCTGTGAAAAAGCTTTTTATCTTGATG